AAAGTGGAACCGTGAAAAAAAGAGGGCCTGTGTGACCCATCGAAAGAATTATATAAGCTGTAAAAGGGCCCTGACATGTATGTGAATTTGATTAGCCTGGATTTCTACTTTAATTAGCTCCAGTAATCATTAAGCAATACAAATAAGTAGACTGTGTATATGGAATATAACATGAAGCATGGGTGAGAACTGCATCCCAGTTGTACCTCTGTGACAACAAATCAAATACATATATTTTCAACCCGAGGCTTCAGCATTGCCTGCTACAGTATAAACTAGAGTACAATAGTGCCACCTAGTGCACAAATGATAAAAAAGCGGCATAAAATACTGTACTACTAATATTACTAATATAGTAAATCACAAGCAAATTCAATTTTATTTTTAATACCCATGATTACCATAGTTACATGAAAATTGCAACGTGAGTCCACTTCATTTTAAAAGAAGAAATCCTGTCTAAGCACAGCCATGATAAGATGCCTGCTAAAACCTTTATAAGCCATAAAAGCTGTGCACCCTTAGTTTCACTTTGTTACTGGGGCCAGAGTTTTCCTACTGTTATAGTTAAGCCCCCCAACATCCTACTGTCCACTATGCATACTCTTTTTGGCCACATTATGACTGGATGGGTGAGGGTGGCAGTGTTAGCCACCAGGTCACCAAAAGTCAAGCCCCAGTTAAAAGAAAAAAAAAGTGAAAAGTAAAGCAGAGAGGGATACAAAATAGATTTTTGTTGCTAATAGAGATAACAGCAGGTGTTTTGTGGTGTCTGCTCCTAGACAGAACATTTAAAAAGGTTAAAATGGAGTACAGGATGACACGTTTCCAAGCACAATGATAAGATTGGTTCCAGATGACAGCATACCTTGGCTAGGTTCTGCCAGAGTTCACACAGGTAATCAAACACTTGGGCGTGGATCTCAGGATTGCTGATGTTATTGACATCTCCCAGGATTCCCAGCATCCTCCTCCACATTACCGTGGACACATCTGCATGCCAGCCAGTGAGTGTGCCACCTGCCATCACACTGCAGCTTTCCTGGGGAAAGTCACAGGTCTCTGCTTATAAAAGAAAATAGCATTGAGTGTATACAATAAATATAACTGTGAAGATGTTGTAGTAAATAAGGTGAACACGGAGTGTTGTTGCACATAACATATGCTTGGCTGTCAAGTGTAAATGTCTCTTTGTGGAGATTTTTATAATTATGTTAACAAAAAGCCATGTAAGTCACACACATTTGAAAATACAAGCGCATCCAAAGCTTATATTTTAGTTCTGGATAGAGGAGGAAAGGATTCCATGATTATTGCTTTTTAAATCCCATTAGGGAGACTCCTTCTCATTTCCTGCCGAGGGGGCACAACAGGTAGTGAGAGGAAATCTTTCCAGAGTGAAGGAAAATCTCCTCTTAGACAGATGTCACCTGACCCTAGTGAAAAATACCCCTTACCTCCTTTTCTGATTGACAATTTGGACTTTTTCATAATTTTCTGTTCCGGTGACAATGGTCACTATAACTGAGAAAAAATAAATCTACCCAGAGGGAAGCAGACAGCAATAAAAACCTGGCAAAGGCTCTAGCCATTCCACAATTTAAAAAAAAGTTTTTACTTAAGATATATCTTAAGTATAAGCAATCCTTTATTATTTTATCAGAGTTACAATATCTGCATTTATACCTGTGCCCCCGATGGCATTCTGTTGCACTGTTATTAACCACTAATAACGTTTATGTTGTACATGAAGACAAACTGTGCAAAGACCCAAATATCTAGGCATAAAAGAAGAAATTGCATCTTCATTTACCTATGTCATCCGGTGTTTGCAGGACCGAATGTTGCAGCTTTTCATGTAACTCTGTCTGTTCAGCCGTCAGAGGAGCAGGAGACGGCGTCTGGGAACGTGAGCCATGGGCAGACACCGCAGGAGAGGCATTTTCAGAGCCTGCGTCAAAAATAACTCAAGAGGTTGGCTAATGGAAACAGATAAAGCAGGAGATTTTTTTTGACTGTGTATTAAGTAGCTAAAATTGCTACGTGTGGTTTAAAAATGTTTTGCTTTGACAGTGAGTGCTGGATATACAGTAGGATTTGTCCTCAAATTTCTAATGTAAGCAAAAGATAAAACTCAAAAGCAGCTATCACATACTTAATGAATTGATAGGCACAATAGAGGACATGAAAATAATGAATGTGAAAGCTGGTCAGTTAAAGTATACTAAAACAAGCATATCAACATAGGCAGTACATATCTGCAATGCCTGAACATTTCCCCATAGTTTATCCCTTTAAAGACCATGCATGCACTGAAATAACCTGTTGATCTACCAGAAGTCCTGTTGTGGGCTGACAACACATAGCATCTTTGTGGACTGAGTGGTATCAGCTCTGCCAAGGTTTCTACTCAGACCCAAGAGTGCACAACACATGGGACAGTTCTGAACTTCTGACATGATCAACTTTTTTTTTGTTTTTGTTTTTTAAACATATCAAACAGATATAACAAAACACTTTCAAAAAGGTATATTTAACAGACCCCACACACCAGAAACTAGGGTGTTGAAGAACATTTTCACAAACCTGCCATACATACATATATATAGAAACTGTGCTGCAAAAAACAAGAGATTACATGCTGGAAAGTCCTATGTACCGAGAATTCTGGATGAAAAATAATTAGATATAACATCAGAACTCAAAAATGTTTAAAGTTATACACAACAGAAAAACAAATTAACCAAAGCAGTATGAGCATACCTGTTGGGACAAACACTTCTGCAGAAAGGGCCTGCTGGTTCAGACTGCAATTTTCAGAGTCAATGTGAAGTGCAGTAAGACTGACCACTTCCTGCTCTTCTACACTAAGTTGCACAGACACAGCGTCTGCCTCCACAGTGGCAGGGACTGATGGCTCATTCCCAAATGGAAAGCCTGCTAAAAGGAAAGCAAATGGTATTAGTACCTGAAAGTACTCCTCTTCTTAAAGCCTCCTTAAAGCAGAAGTAAACTTAAAAATAATAAAACTGCTACGAAGAGTTATTTTTTGGTAGAAAAGACATGCAAAGTCTCTTTTGCAAAAATAGGATTTTTGTACTCACCGTAAAATCCTTTTCTCTCCGTTCATTGAAGGACACAGGGCAACAGATCGTAGATCCTAAGACAGGAAGGCCGGTCGAGGACGGAGAACAGCCTTGACCCCATGAAGGACCAGAAAAGGCGACTTGCAGGACAAGGCAGCCAATGCAAACACCCACCGAACGAAAGTGACGGCCACCAAAAAGGCCACTCTTTTGGGACAAAGACAAAAGCGGAATCTCCCGAATAGGCTCCGAAGGGGGATTCCTGCAGCACCGAAAGCACCAGATTCATATCCCACGGTGCCAAAGGCAAGCGGACAGGAGGAGCAATACGCGCAACCCCCTGAACAAAAAGATGCGAACCAGAGCATTAGACGCCAAGGGCCGTTGGAAAAGCACAGTCAAGGCAGAATCAGCCCCTTCAACGTGCTCAATGCCAACCCTTGAGCCACACCGCATTGCAAAAAGGCAAGAATGTTGCTGATGGAAAACAATCACAGAGACCAGGACCCCGCCTCGCACCAGACAAAATAGGCCCGCCACGTGCAAAAGATAAATCCTCCCAGAGACTGCTTTGCGTGCTCCAAGCATCGTGGAGACGAACGTATCAGACAACCCTTGGTCCCCCAGGACCCGGCCCTCAACCGCCACGCTGTCAAAGCCAGCGACGATAAAGAAGGATGGAACACAGGCCCCTTGGACACAAGGTACGGACGCAGAGGCTGCCGCCAAGGAGCGGCCATAAACAGCACAACCACATCCGCGTACCACGCCCTCCGAGGCCAACCCCGGGCCACGAGGAAGTCTTCGGCCACGATCCGTCGCAGAAGCCAAGGTAACAGGTAAAGTGGAGCGAAGGTGTAAATCGGACCGTAAGGCACCTAGGGAGCCACCAGGGCATCCCCCGCCACCGCCCAGGGATCCAGAGCCCGGGCCATGAACCTCTCCATTGAGACGAGACGCCAGAAGGTCCACCTCTGGTTTCCCCCAGCAAAGACAGAGTTGATGAAAAAACTCCCGGCGTAGGGACCACCCCCCCGTGTACATCGACTGGCGACTGAGGGAGTCGGCCTGCCAGGACAGGATCCCGGACACTTCTCGACATGCGGCCACGCTCATTGTGCCGCCCTGATGGTTGATGTACGCCATCGCGGTCGCGTCGTCGGACTGAACCCGAACCGACAGACTGTGGAGACCAACGAAGGGACAGGCGAAGCGCCCGAAGTTCCAACACATTGATCGACCGACGTCCAGCGACAGGGTGGACTTGACCCACAGCCCCAGAATATCCCACTGGAGGGTCCTGGTGTGGTGCTGAGCAGAAGGCACCGCCTCGAAGGAGGCCACCATGAGACCCTGGACCTGCATACAGAAGCGAATGGACGACCACCAGCGAGTCCGCAACAGACGCACGTCAGCACGAAGTGTCAGTAGCTTGTCCGGAGGAAGAAAACCCCGGGCCGCGACCGTGGACAGGACTCGGCCCAGATACTCCAGGTGCGGCGAAGGCACCAGACAAGACTTCCGGAGATCCAGAATCCACCCGAACTACTCTAAGGAGCGCACAGTGACCTCCCGAGCCGACACCAGAGGAGGAGTGCAACTCCGCAGAAGCAGATCGTCCAAATACCCCACGATCGAGATTCCCCGGCAACACAAGAGCGCCAGAACCAAGGCAAGCACCTCGGTGAACCCCCGCGGGGGCGACGCGAGGCCGAAAGGCAGCGCCACAACTGGAAATGCTCTTCCCCCACCGCGAAACGAAGATATCGCTGAGGAGACACGCAATAGGCACAGCAAGGTAGGCCTCCTTGATGTAGATGGAGGCCAACAGGTCCCCCTGACCAAGTCACATCACCCGGACCGAATTGATTCAATGCGTAAACAACGGACCCGCACAAAAGAGTGTGGGCGTTTGAGGCCCAGGATGGACCGAACCCTCTCTCACTTAGGCACAGTGAACAGATGTGAATAAAAGCCCCGCAACCGTTCCGGGAACGGAACCGGCACGACTACCCCCTGGGACAAGACGCCCACCACTGCGCGATGAAGATCCGCCAGGCGTCTGAAAGTCGATCTTTTGTTGCCAGAGGAAACCAGCTCCCGAACCCAAGCGTCGGAGACGTGAGTCAGCCAAAAGTCCGCCAAGAGCCGATCCAGTCCAAGGTGGTGCCAAACAGGCAGTCCACAGCGAAGGGAAGCTCCGTTAGAATGTTTGTAGAAGCCTGGTCAGCCGACCAGCACGTAAGCCAGAAAAACGGCGAAGCGTAACCGCCACCAGGGGCGCCGCATCCAAGGCCGAGTTGCAGACCGACTCAAGCCCTGCACCAGCAGCACCGCCAATTCCCCATAGGTGGGGGAAACATGCTCCTCCGCGAGACCCTGGTGCAACATCCCTGCCCACTCCGACAGGGTCTGAGAGACCAGGCAGAAGCCAGGACGGGTCGCATCAGCCCACCCGACACCGAGTACAAGGCGCGCAAAAAAACGCCTCAGCCTTCCAACCGGTGGAATCCTTAAAGGACGGTGATCCACCACCCGAATAAAGGTAGCAGTGTTCAAGCGGGAGACCAGTGGGCCACCCCAGGCGGGGAGGCCCATTTGGACCAAAAGTCCTCCGCAACCGGCTAGCGAACCGAGAAACGTACTGGAACCGTAAAGAACTTGGTCGGGCGTTTCCACTACTTATAGATAAATTCATCAAAAAAGAAAAAAGGAATGTAGGGAAACACCTTGTCGGAGCACTTGCTCTTATGCGTCCCGAACTGCACCGAGGACAGCGTAGAAGAGCCAGGAGACACCTCAATTTTAAGAAACATACGGAAGGCGCGCACCCGTGCTGCAACCAGTTCACATCCCTGAACCAAGAAGGCTCGTCCTTGTGAGCCATGATCCCACTGGCACCAACAACCGCCCACCAGACGACCGCCACGGGCAACAGGGAGACCACCGCAGCACCCACGATCCCCGGCCCTATTTTCATCTGGCACCGGCAGTATCCGACCCACGGGAGGAGAGCTGCCCCCCGTTTCCAGCTTCAGCGGCGCCCCAGGCCAAAAGGAAGCTCCCCCCCATCCATCTGGGGTTGAAAGGAGCCCTGGGAGGAGGTGACAGCGGAGAAAGGGCATTTCGCACGGACTGCGGCACCCCAGGGCTAAGCAGACACCCATAGCCGACCCAAGCCATAGTGTCCACAACCAGGGACACCGCTGGCCAGGGCAGGAGCCCTGGGAGGTAGGGACACAGGAGGAAGGGCATTTTGCCCTGATCCAAGATGGCGGCCGCAGAGGCCACTGGAGGCCGCAAACGAGACCTGGGCCTCAAGGAGTGGCCATGGCCGCCGCACGGCCAGCGGCACCCGCGGTCCAAACTGACACCCTCAGCCGACCCAAGCCTCTCTACAGTGCTCACACCCAGGCACACCGCTGGCCAGGTCAGCCCCCGCTGCCCAGGCAAGCATCCAGGCCCCATGAGAGGGAGGAGGGAGCTGAAAAGCTGCAGCTGGGACAGACCCAGTGCAGCCAGCTTACCTGAGAGCCGGTTACCACAGCACAGGCACAGCAGATAATTACCAGGCCCAGGCGTGCAGGGAAGCAGCGAAAGGCAGGCGCCCCCGACCGCAGACGCGGTGCCGCCAGCCTGCAGGGAGTGCTGTGACAGGCGGGTCAGGACCCCCTGTCATATGCACCCCCCGGGACGAACCCGCAGGCACCCATAGGGACTACTAGTCGCAGCCGACCCACCGTGGCAGAGTCTGCATGCGCTCGACAGCCACCCAGGGGAGACTACAAGGATCCATCTCCATCCAGCATGTCGCCCTGGTGACACTTGCTAGAAGAATCGCGAAAAAAAACCGGAAGGAAAGTAATTTTCCAGAGAAAATGTTTTAGCTCCTTACTCCTGACGCTAGGCAAAAAACTGGAGACTTGTCAGCAGGTGGGGGGTTTGGCCACCAGCAGGGGCCGCCCCTAGGCTGTCTTTTGTCTTTTTGTTATGTGCCTAGCGTCCTACTCCTGCAGGTGGCGATATACCCTACCATACAGGATCTACGATCTGTTGCCCTGTGTCCTTCAATGAACGGGAGAGAAACAACATCTGCTTCTCACCTCTAGCAGTTTTTTATTTCAATGCGCCATAGAGTGTACCACCCTGTACCTTTCCAGCATCTGTAATATGCCAGGAATGGAGCTGGGTGCCGAAGATGATGTAACTCCTGTGTGCATGCCCAGGAGTTATGCCATCAGAGGCGGCTCAATGATTGAAGTGAATGATGGGGGCCCTAGAAGAACCAGCAGAGGAGATGGGGGACCAGAAAGACGCATCGGTGGATGGAACAGCGATTGACAGCCCAGATCGGTCAGCGCTGGAGGAAGCTATACTTGTAAGGCAAGTGTGCGATAATGTGCAAGTATGAGGTGTGTTTACCTTACCTTTTGAACTTTACTTCCGCTTTAAATAATGAGAGTTATAGTGTCCATTGGTCATGTCACAGAGGTTTAACTACAATCGAATATGAAAAAAGCCATCAAACCAATATAACATGCTCACCGGGCCCGAACATAACACTTTTCCTGCTTTGATAAAATATGGCTGTTCAGAACGGTACGCCAAGGCCCCTTTCACATGGAGGACTTCAGTTCCGATCAGGAGGGGATCCATGCACTACTTGGCACGGCACCGTTGTGACATCTGTGTCTGTCCAGTTTTTTCCTCCATCCTATGATGGAGGAAAAAAATGAAATTGCTAGACCCATGTTGGTCTATGAGGAGTCATTCTGAAAATATTTTATATCATAAGCTATCCTAGCACAATGGCAGTACACTGTATACAGACATAGTATACAGTATAAGGCCAACTAGATTTAAATGCATGGGCAATATTAAGCTACTGTTATATTTTTAAAATTAAAGCAGATCTTCAAATATGTGTCTTTTGTTTAATATATTTTTTGTTTTTCTTTCAACTGGCTGAATGGCAGACTTACCATGCAAGGTATTCAAGAAATTTTGAGAAACATATTCCCAGACCTGAATCCTCACTCCTGAAATATTTTTACTAAAATTTGCTGCACATGTGAATAGAAGACATTTCAACAGAACTGTAGGAATAATGTATATGGGAATTCACCATTCTGCTTGTTCAGTGGAGGAAGGGTTTAATTACTAGGGATGCACCGAAATTTTGGCTAAAAATGGTACTATGGGCAAAATGCAGATAGTACGAAAATGTCCAAAAAAGGCCATACACATCCCTAGCTTCTCTCCTCCCTGCTGGGTGACGGCTGCAAGCTTCAGTCTGTGTCCACTATGATCCCTGCTGCTCTTTCCCGCCTGTGTGGCAGATGAATATTTACTATCTGCACACTTTATGAATGAGCAAGAAGGAGTTCAGTGCAGAGGCTTCCTGTCCATTCATGACTGGTTGATAGTAAATATTTACTATCTCCAGATTTAAATATTTATCTCCAGATTGTGAATGAACAGGAAGCTTCTGTAATGAGTGCTGGGGCTGCAGAAAAAGAGATTGAGGACTGAGTGTCCTCAATCTCCTTTTCTATTTTAAAAGGGAAATATCAGGGGTCTGCTTAGACCTCTGCTATTTCCCCAATGCCCCTAAGAATAACATAAATAAATACAAATAAAATAATAAAAAAAGGTAAAACATTACAAAAAGGTTGGGACATAAGTCATTTTCAGTTTCAGCCTAACAAATTTTTAAATTCAGTCTAAAAATTTCATTTTGGTGCATCTCTAACAATTACACTTTACTATACAGTACATCGCCCTTCTTTAGGTTACAATATTAATTTAACATCCCTTGGACATGGCAGTACCCACATTAAAATAAGTTATAAATGTTAAACTGCTTACCTTCAAATTTTCTACCATCATACTGGAAGGCATTGAAGGAGTCAGAGTGGCTGTCTGAGCTGAGCAGGTCACTACTGGCAGCGCTAGCTGGGGAAGTCCACTCTGATGGAACACCAGGATCATCTACTGGACGCATCTGACAATGTTTATTTAGGGAGTCTGGTAAATCCTTTGGAACTTCTAGACTACCAGGGCTGCTACCCCTGCGTGTTAGTGTCTGGTGGGAGAGGACAAAAAAAAATAGGTAAAATTTGTGATATCATACTTTTGCCTGAGTACAATTATCTTGATCAAGATAGGGTATTTCTACTGGGTGTTTAGTTGCTGAGTTCAGTGCATAGTGATTTTGCAATTATTTATGATATTCAACACTAACTTTATATAACACTAGTTTATAAAGTTATATAACTGTGGTCAACAATCATTCCTTGTAGATATTTTCTGTAGATTGCGTCTAATTCACCAGTCTAAAACTCATCCACAATCCCACATTTCTTCTTCATAATAGATTTGCTTTATCTTGTCTTACAAATGTATAGCACATAGTATTGAAAGTCTTAGGTGTGTAATAGAATGATCCTATCTGAAAATGCCTTGAATTGTGGCTATTGTCATTTATATAGAGACAGTTCCTTCCATTAGTAAGAGTTCAGTGTTGGTGGGTATATGTTCTTCCCCTTGGAAATATATTATTTCACCTGCTGTACCTGCTTGCTTCATATTTTAATAAGGCGAACTGTGGGGAAAATTATGTGGAATTTAAACGTGGCATTAGGGCTTGTTCACACCATGTCCGGATCATGTCCCGACCAGAACAGTTTGTTCCCGGACCAAACAAGCATCCCAATGTATCCCTGTGTCATTTCTGGGCTCTGTTCAGAGCAGTCTGTTCCGGTCTAGACCAGAAAAATACTGCATGTCTCATTTTCTCTGGACTGCACATGCACATGAAAATGCACCAAAAACGCATGCAAATGCACTGGAACGCACATGTAAGCCCATTTTAAGGTGGAAAAAACGCAGCAAAATGCAATGCTGCGCGTTCCAGATCTGGTCCAGAAAAATGGTGTGAACCTGGCCTTAATGTATTAAGGAGTTACACCAAATATTACAAAAGACAATTGTAACACATAAACCCCTAAAACAATAAAGTAAAGTGACTGGACCCCTACCCAATACAGATTCACCTGTCCCTCATATTCTTTTCATCATTTCCCAGTTTCCTCCCTTTATTCCTTCACCATTCCAACCCCATCTGTATTTTTGCTACCCTCGTAGTATCCACTTTTGTTGCCTTTTTTCTCTCATTCTTTACTTCAATATACTTTGTCCTTTGAAGTGACAAGACATGTCCCTTTGATGATAGGCAATACATTTTTTATATATATTTGTCCACACCTTAATTCAATATCTACCTGTGTTGCAACACACACTATTCAGGTACCTTCAAAACAATCCTCAAAATACTCTATTAGTTTATTATTGATCTATCCTACTGTAACCCCATGCAGTTCTAGTTTTATATTGATTTTTTAAAGACAGCCTTTTTTGGCCATAGTTCTCTTAAGGGTCACAGGAGGACATTTTCTATTTCATCCTGTGACCCAAAACTCAGCATATAGTGATCGGGATTGGTATGTGATCAGTTCTCGATCTGTAGAGCCAACGTGTGATAACTTCCGTGTCACACTTTGGCTCTTATTATGGGGATGAGTGTATTTCACTCTCCCCATAATTCTCCTTTAAAGAAAACCGCTTGCTTCTTACTCTAAAAAGTTAGTGCTAGTAAAACTGAAAACATACCTTTTTATTTGACCTGCTACCATAAGCTTTTGTAGGAGCTGTGGTCTGCTAGAGCTAAAAGACAAGCCTGTTCATTTAAGAATGTGTGCATATATCCCTAAAAGTCAGGGGTCTCAAAGTACTGGCCTGCAAACAGGTACCATGGGGCCCGCAGCCAGCTGACAAGTCAGGCACACAGTCACAGACTTGCGTACCAGACTTGGGGGAGGAGCTAAACGATCTGCATCTCTGTCGGATATGATTGATAGCTGCTCCTGGCTGTGCCCGCACTGAGTTCCTTTTGGCCGGCGCTCTGACAGTCTTGGGGTCGTATTTTTCTTTCTGTGTGAGTATTAGGCCCCATTCACACCTGTAAGTTTATCTGTGTTTAGGGATTCCTGTGTCAGGAATTTGCATTTTCCTGCAGCAGGAGTCCCTAATCAGCCGTTTACAGCAGCTGTCACCTATTCAAGTTAATGATCAGGTGAAAGCAGCTGCATGTAAACACCTGCACACCGCATGAATTCGTATGTCAAATGATTACATGTAGTTAGAAAACAATCACTCTCCCTGGATGCACGATCGATGCGTCCAGGGATAGTGATTGATTCCTAACCACATACAAATCACATGCTGTGTGCAGGCGTTTACATGCAGAGGCTTTAAGAGTTCATAAATGCCCATAAACTTACAGGTGTGAATGAGGTCTTATTGGGTGTGTATTTCTGGTGGAGGGGAATGTGAGTATATCTGTGTGTGCATATTTCTATGTGTGCGTATATTTCTCTGTGTGTGACTGAATGTGTGAACCTGTCAGTCCTCGCTGCTTAAAATTAAAACACCTGTGGGGAAAAAATACACACCTATACATATTAATATGACACACACAGAAATGTTAATACACATACCGACATGAAAGTCAGGAATTCACCAGCACTCAGTAGTAAAGATAAATATGTCCCTTTTATTGGACAGAAAGCGTCACAGACATCCAAATAAATTTCCTGAAGGGACCCTGCGCAGCCCCGAAACGTCGGTTTATTTGGATGTCTGTGATGCTTTCTGTCCAATAAAAGCGACATATTTATCTTTACTACTCAGTGCTGGTGATTTCATGACTTTCCTGTGTTTGCACGGCGCCATGCTTTGTATCTCATCACTGCGAGCACCACTTTTTTCATATCTGGCCGGGACTGCTGTGAGGAGTGCGGAGGGTCTCTCCATCTACTTACACATACCGATATCACTCACAGAAATCCTGACAATACACACACACACAAACTATCACAAAGGATATTGACATTGCATACAAAGAAATCATCACAACACATATACTGACATTGTAAACACACGCGGACATTAACACTGGTCCGGTATATAGTTATAGTTACATTTTATTTTGAAATATGAAATGTGGCAAGCGGCCCCCAAGGGAGTAGAAAATGTGTCCAGTGGTCCCCAAGTGAATTGCGTTTGAGACCCCTGCTATAAGTAAACATTATATATGTATATTCCATCTCAACTTAGAACTACCATCCAGAGCTGCTAATGGCTCCAACCAAACCACATGTGGTCTACACTGCTTAATTGTAAATTGTATTCTGGAGCTGCCACATTTGTTTTGCTTAGAATGCAGAAAGCTTTCTTCCTGGTAATTTATTGGCCATAGAACTTTCTAGTATTCTCAATATCACATAATGATTGCATTATGAATTACGCATACAGCAGCTACTTACTGGACCAGCGCCTGACCTCAACCTCTCTGCAATAAATTCATCCATTAGATCTGGGATATTGGAGCTTGAGCTGATCTCGTTGTTAAGAGCATTTAACTGTGAAGCCAATTCTTCCTTGCTAGCTACAAGAGAAATAAGAAAAGTAAGTAATTCAGTGTATTCTTTAATTATGGTTAAATTAGAAAGCAAAAATGTAAGCACCTACTGGGAAACAACCAGGGAACAGTCTATACAGGGGTGAAGCATGCTGTTAAAGAAAGGGTTTCACCACTGTTGTAGCTGTGTTTGGGATTAGTAAGTGCAGTACTCATTGTGGTTTCATTAATAAGCAGTTAGTCAAATCTGGGCAAAATTCTAAAGCGTTTTCATTCCTTGAAGCAGAGCTGGCAGGGTAGACAGAGGGTAGATGACCATTTGCAAGGAAGGAGGATTCCTTAAAGAGTAGTAGGGTAAGTACTTCGTTATCTTCTGCTGGATTTTCTAACCCACATCTGCACAAGTCCTACAGTCATTTGAATAACCCATATAAAAATGTAACAACAAAACAAGTTAAAACATAAAAAAGGTTGACATATTTAGGATATATCTATACAAAAATACCTATAAGAAATTTAGAACTGCCTCAGCTCAGATCACTACTTAAGGATCTTCAACCATACTCAAAAAAGTAAATGGTACATACATGGAGGAAGGTCTTTTTTTTTTCTTCTTCCACATATTGAGGAAAAAAAGCACTCAGAAGCATTTATTTTCACTTTAGTTAGTTAAAGTGAACCTGTGTATATATAATTCTTGCCTAGACACCACAGGTGCCATTATCCTTTTTAACCAGAAAGTCTTCTTCTGGTCTTCCTTTTTTTGAACTAAAGCACATCCCCTGTCCTGGAAAACGTGGATTAATTTCTCGGTGTGAAGAGAAGTCCACGCTGTAGAGATCAATGTCTCTGATAAGGCAACTCTCTGACACAAAAGGGCCGCAAGAGTGCCACACCAAAGGTTTGGGAGTCCAAGAGTATTTATTCAATTACAGAAGTACAAAGGTAACATGATTAGGGGGCAAAAATATTCTCTCTTCATTAGATGGCAGCATTAATCCTTTTTTCAAAAATGTACTTTGAAAGCGGGTTGTGTGAGCCTATAGCTTCCTATACTCTATATTCACATAAAGTTGATATGCAGTTAGCATCATTTAGCAATTAAATGAAGAAGAGTCAGGTCCAGGTTACAATGTAAAACAAAATCAGAGAGGGGCACAGATTAAGCTTTTCTAGCTAATAAACAACATCCCGCGGTATCTTCTTAAGGAGTTTCAAAAGCAGTACAGGTTTCATTTAACATTGCATGCTCCAAATGTCAGACATAAGGTAATCAAGAAGTGTTCTTGAAGTACTATTCTCACACGTGGGTCTTTTCCTGTCTATTACAGATAAAATGGAAACTTGTGCATGTGACTTACGCCAACAACGAACACCACAATTCACACCCCTTTAACTGAGCCTAAGGAAGTAAAAGCTACATTCTGTGGAACAGTGAAGATCAGGCCAGCAGTGCAGCATGGTATATTGACATTTTACATGCCAGGTTTTTCAAGTCGGAAAAGCGCTGATGTGAAAAGTGTCTCACTGAACTGAAACAAAAGAGAGGAGGCTCTTCACTGCTACATTGGAACCTTTAAGCTTTGCAACATTACAACTCGACATATTTAAGGAACCAGGCTGGGGAAAATTACAACAACTTTATAAGCCCAATCATTTGTTCCATGACGCCAAGTTCGGATTGATTTTCTCTTATAGGACTTAAACCAGGAACAAAAATTGATTACATTGCAGCTTATCAGTCCTTAAAGTGCATTTTCAATGCTGCAGATAATTAGGGCAACACCTACTTTATATTTGTTACATGTTCCCATTCACACAGCATAATTCAAAATTGCCGCTTACATTTTGAAGTGGTTTTTATGTGTTTGTATTTGCTTAACACCCCTACGTAGCTTCCTGCCTATGTAAGGAGGAGGCTGTGGGAAGTTGTGTTTACTCTGTCTGTACTGCGTTGGCTGATTCACTATAAGTTGTAAACTAGATTTGAACAATGTCTGTCCTAACAAAGGCTTAAAGATCTAGAAGCATTGTATGTTAATAAGGGGAGGCTCAGTCTGTCCTTCTACTTTCAAACTGCTCAAGACAAGCTGCAATTTGCACATAGGAGTTCACAAAAAACAAACTAAAACATTTTAAGGTATGATTTATGAATGGGAACACATAACATATATTGTGGGTTTCTCAAAATTGACTGTAAATGTGGAAATACACTTTAACCACTTGCTGACCGGGGTGTTAAACCTCCTTCCTGTCCAGGCCATTTTTCAGTATTTAGCATTGAGGTACTTTGACTGACATTTATTCCGTCATGCAACGCTGTACTGAAATGAATTTTATTCTGTTTTTTGGGGACGGATAGAGCTTTCTTTTGGTGGCATTTAATTATTTTTTTCTATATAATCAAAAAAGTGCAGAAAATTTTGAAAACAAAAAGTTCCCCCTACGTTATGTCACAAAAGATTATTGCCCAATTTTTTTGTAAAATATAAAAGACGGGGTCACGTCAGGTAAATGGACAACAAACATGTCAAGCTTTTGCATGCACTCGCGAAATCGCAAAAAACTACCATACCTAAAATTGGCCATAGGCGATGTTTTAAAAGCTTTTACCTCTTATTAGTTTCGTGTTATTAGTGATTGATGGCCCTAGAATTTTTTGGTGTTTTTTATTTTTTAATATGTGACTTTTTTTTTTACACTTAACTTTTATGCTATTGCATAGGGGGCTAACAATCCCCCTATGTGCTAGCCAATATACAATGAAAGGTCCTCTATGGAGACGAAAAACTACCATGCCTAAAATTGGCCATAGGCAACGCTTTAAAAGCTTTTACCGCTCATTAATTTATGTTATTTGTGTTATCAGTGATTGATGGCCCTAGATTTATTGCTCCCACTCTGACGTTCACAGTGATATGTAACATGTGCGGCGCAATCTTTGTTTTCGCACGTAGGCGCACCTGAAGCATGTTTCCATGTGTATGTGGAGGCGGGGGAATTTTAAAAAAATAGGTTTTTTTAAAATTGCTTTTATATGCGACTTTTACATTTTTATTTATTTTTTTGTAACTTAAATTTTTTTAAACCTTTTTTTTCACTTAACTTTATTGCTATCACATAGGGGACTAACTAGCCCCCTATATGATCGCCAATTTGCAGTGACAGGTCCTCTTTATGGAGACATCAAGGGTCTTTAAGACCCCTAATGTCACCTAGGGACCCCCAGAGAAGCTGATGAAGCAGAGACCTGCTTCACCAGCTTCTCTCTGGCTTCTGTACCGGAGAGTGACAGATGAATGCGGAAGTGATGTAATATACATCACTTCCTGCATTCCGACAACGAGTTGGAGATCAAAGGTAGATCGTGTACTGATCTCCCTTTGATCACTGGTTACAGAGCTGCTGTGCTGGTCCCGGGATCACACCGGGCACAGCGGAGCTCGGGATCGCCAGCGGCGGCTATGACTGAGGGGGTCCGTGCACCCGCACCCATATTACAAGCGATCGGGCGTCTCTACAGACAGTGGAATGCTTGTATGTAAACAGCCATCACTGGCTGTTTACATTTCAAGCTGATTCCCCGCTGGTGCGCGCCACCTAGCGGTGGGCACGTGCAGGGCGGGAGGGGACGTTTAAAGATGCCCACCTGCATCCAAGAAGCCGCTGTCCGGCCGTTTAATTACAACGGTCAGACAGCAGGTGGTTAAGTAAGTATTTAAATTACTCCGTGCTACTACCTGCATTTTTTAAGTTGGTGATAGGGTCTGTTTAAATGTGGTGGCTGCATTAGTTTTTATTTTCTAGCAAATGCTGACCTTGCCAGAAATGCAGTGTCCTTGCTATGTGTTGTGAATTGAACTAAAAACACAACCAATCTTAAGGCGATTGCTCTCCAGAAGATCCTCAACTGGCATCACAATGTCGGCACTAAAATTTAGGTCCCTATAGAGAAGAGTATGGTAGGTAGAATTTTGGCAGACACCCCATGGCTTTCAAGCTATTTTCACGGCCTCTATGACATGACTCCCACCCAGGCCCGGCGCTAGCGCAAGGCAAGTAAGGCGGGCGACTTACTCGTACTTGTCAAAATGCCCCGATGTTTGCACTATGTTTTTTTTTAACTTCGGTGCGGGAGAGCAGCCATACCATAGCGTAAACATCGGGGCATTTTGACAAGTACAATACTTGTCAAAATGCCCTGTTTTTACAGGGGGTGGGGGTCGGGATT